AATCATGCGAAATCGAAGAAAATTAATGGATAAAAATAATTCCTTCATATATGTGCGCACGAGCAAATTCTTCCATACAATTTCAGCCATAAATTTTATTCATTTTTATTTGAATATTTACAAATTAAATTTGTATCTAAAGTTAAATTTTTTTTAATTAAATTTCAAACTTATTTAAAACGTAATCAGCCTATTTATTAAATATATAATTTTTCATGTATATTTATTTTTTGATTAAAATATTAATAACAATAATTGAGAATATATTATAGATTACGTACAATAATAGAAAAATGTGTTCCAAAAACAAGAAATAATTTGGCATTAATTAAATATGATGTATAAGAAATGTGTGATTTTAATGGATAAAATTTGATAAAATTTTGTTCATTATAACGATAAAAATGATAAACATTTATATGCAAATGTGTTTATTTCATTGAAGTTATGGATATGTATGGAATATACCAATTTGAATGTAAAATTATTATATACTATAAAAAATGCTATTATATATGTTTAAAAAGTGTCTATTGTTGATTTGATTTATCTCTAACGTCACAGTGATTTTGATCACTTTATTTGGAGATTACGATTGTAATTACGTGCTTGGTTAATCTCACATATGCAGTTTATCTGAATCGAATTTAATCACAAATAAAAGTCAAGATACGAATGATAAAGATTATATATTCGATTAGGAAAAATTTTCTCCGGCTGTGTCAATATTATGTCAAGTTTGAACATTATGAGTATAAATTATCATTTTAAAATAATATAATTTAATATGATAGGTATTAGAGAGAGAGAGAGGGGGACATTCAAACTAAATTTATTATATTTAAAAAATGTTAAATATTTCACTTAAAAATAAAACTTTAGTTTAAATGATATTTAATTATTTGATTTAAAAATAATAATTTAAATGGTAAATTTTATAGTTTAATTTTACAATTCTTTTTTTATTACAAAATATACAACATCTTGAACTTTTATATATGAATCTTATGCATATTTGCATTCTCGTCATATTGCATTTCGAAGCAAGAGGGAACCATTATTGGCTGGATACAACAGCTTATTCTGCAATCATTCGTATGACGTGTGGTCATGCGACACGACTACTCGTCCATTTTTTACCGCACGATTTATTCGAAGGGCGGGAAGCAAAAACCGTGGAAGGGAAGTTTAGTTTACGTGTGTAACAAAAAGATATTTTTGCTTTATTCTTCAAACAAATTTTATATAAGGACATTTTTTCGTCGTTACTATGATATATTGTTTATTTTTTACAAAATTAATTTGCTATAAAAATATAATTGCAATAAAAAATTCATGCAAAAATATTTTTAACAGATGTGTTTATATATACATATGTAAGGCGTTTACATAAAATATATATCTCACAAACTATACTTATTGTTAGCATATATCTATATTGTATTAATATACACATATATGTAGGATGTATATAATTATTAATTAATATATATATATATATATATATGTATATATATATATATATATATATACATATATATCCCAGATTGCATATGAGTCATGGATATCTATCGAATATCTGTTTCTGGACATTGGATATCTATTTTTGATCCAGAAAGAATTCGTCAATTACTTAAATGTATACACGAAAAATATAACAATATATTATATATTAATTTAAAGATTACAATAAATAATAATAAAATTAAAATATTTCAAAAAATTTTTATATATTGTACTTATATATCTGAACAATCTAATTATTATATATATATAAGTATTTGAATTAATAATATTTAAATTTAATTTAATTAAATAATGTGGAATATTAACTCAATAATATTTATTAAATCAATAGCATTTATCACTTGAATTCTAAATAAAAAATTTAATTAAAGTTTAATGATATTATTTGTATGATAACTAATCATCGAAATTTCAAGATGTGGAATACTTTCATATATTTATAGTCACAGGTAGCGACAAAAAAAAATAATTAGATGCTTTCGGTCTCAAGAGTGTAAAGATATCATTTCAATAGTTCGTTCCGTTGCACTTTAAGAAGGAAAACGATGCTTGACGGGAACGCATGTGTATACACCGGTATAGGTTCTCACGGATTATCGACTCGAATATCTCATGAAAATTATCAAGCTAGGGCCCAGTGGCGGTCGCGTCGCGTAATGCTATTAATTTGCAGGAACCGATGCAGACCACTGGCTTCATTATCGTTATCAATACTGTATAGAATCGCGTGACAAGTGCGTGACCGCAGATGCGGAACGCCCTCGGTACCTATAGACGTTTGTATCCAACCGCCTTAATTTATCCTTTAAATTATGCACGATCTCGCTGAGCACAGCGGTTTTTGATCCGCATCGAATAAAAGGAATCGAAGAGAGAGGGAGCGAGAATTCTATATTATATTTTTTTCTAAAGTTCTTTCAAAAGTTATTTCAAATGTTTTTAAAAAAGTCCGATAATAATATTGTTTAAGGGGATGCCGGATGTCTGTTTTATCGATCAGATGATTATAGATTTTTCTGCACCGAAATCTTTTTATTGGTTTAATAAAATAATAAATGCTTTTCCACAATTAAAACACGTACAGAAACAAAGTGGGAACCTACTGATTTTATGTTAAAAACAAGAAAAAATTTAAAAATTAAAATTTCTTTATCGACTTCTGTCGTCAGGTCGAAAAAAATAATTGTTTAATATAAAAGTTCTGCTGTTTGTACGTACAAAATAAGATAGGTTCCGACTAGAAATTGAATAAAGAAGTATTAGTATATTTTTAGATATAAGTTTAAAAGCCTAATAAATAAGAAAACGGTGCAGAAAATTTTCACGCATATGTGTTGTATACGTGCATATGTTTAGACATGTGTGATGCTAACCTATCATGTGTATATGTGTATACATGCATATGTTTAGATATGTGTGGTGCTAACCTATCGGAGTTCGGCCGTCTCTCCGGCATCCCCTTAATAATCATGACAACAGTGTCAACTAACTGCACTTTTATCAAGGAAGTATGTAAAAAATTTTGAATTCTTGCGTTTAACATCAAAAATGTTTATTAATTTTAATTAATTGTACCATTCTAGTTTTTCACTTGAAAAGGACCAAAAACAGATGGTCGAAACGTTGTGGAAATAAAATAAAAATTTTCTTGGCTAGTTTGGGTCGATTTAAATATATCGTTCCTATTATATTTTTTATTCTATTAATTTTGCCGCTGTTCTTTCTCTATAATATTGCACATTAGTTGATATCGCTACAATTTTCAAAAATAAACTGTAATTATAATTTCAAAACAAATGCAATTATTTTGAAATCTTTTCTCCATTAAAGTCTTGTACATCGTATAATATAATACATTCTTTTTTTATATTTGCGCATCATTTATGCTCTCTACAAATTATTAATTAATTTATCAATAAATTATATATAAGTAATTACTTAAAGCAAGAAATAGAAATCAAGTATGAATAAGTAACAGTAATCGATATAAGAGCGACTTCTCGAGAAAAGAGCCACTCTTCCATAGATTCCGACGTTTTAAGGAAGAACCTGCGTGTCATTTTCTTGGTGAAATAGCGGAGAAAGGTCCTGAGAGGAGGCTCGAGCTGGCTCGAACTTGTCCGTAAGGCTAAACTAATTTGCTGCGCGAGGGTGGACGGTTGGAACCTCTAGGTAGTGGGGTGACACACAGGACCAGAAACTATGGTCGAACGCAGAAAGAAATCGTGGCGAGGGGTAGAGGGCAGAAAGGGGGAGCTCTAATATCACGGTGGTGGGGCACCGAATTCCAAGTGACCAGTAAAAGTGCTACCCCACGCACACGCGGACCTCGCTTCTCTCTTCTTTTTCATCCCCCTTTTCTGGCCGCTTTCTCTCCTCTACGTCGCCGCTCCTCTTCCTTTCTCCCTCTCTCCCCCCGATAAATCCCCTTTCCCTTTCGCTTCGACACCCCCGCCCTTCCGGCCCCTCAAAAGACCTCAATGTTATCCGAGGGGAACTGTGAACTGGGGTAAAAGACTGCTCGTGTTGGGTCGCGAGGAGGACGTTCGTATTTTACGAACACATTTGTGTGTGTGTGTGTGTATAAGTCGGGTGTTTTTTTTTAACGCACGTGCGTGCAGGTGCGTAACTTCGAAAGAGAAGGAAGTACCTTGACGAGAAGGAGCTCCGACAGTGGTGGCTACCCTTTGTTCAGATCCCCGAGCTTTCACAAAAGGACACTTCTTTAAATCGCTAATGACTTTTGCCATTTCTTCTGCATACGAGCTATATCATATGGCCGCCCTTATAGCACACCATATCCAAAAAACATTCAGAGGATATTCAGAGAATATTCGGAAGATATTAGAACATCCTCAGGATGTTCTCTGAACGTCTTCGAGATATGTGTGCTGTTAAAGTGATAATAAGAGAAAGAGAGTATTTTATATAAATAAAAAACTTTTATTTGTTCAGAAATTAGATTGTTTCCTTTTCTCTTTTCCTTCTTCGCCACAATTTAATTTGAAAAAATTAACTTTTGTTAGTTTCTCAGTTTTTTTCTCGTTTCTTTTCAATTTTTCCATTTTAATAAATGTTCAAAATAAAAAAACTTCGAGGGATGAACGATGACAGGAAGAAATGATTTCCTCCTTCGATCGTAGGAAGGCGTCGGCCCTGACTTTGAAAGAACGTGGGGGGTGGCAGGCAGGCAGGGGGTAACTCTCCGTGAGGGAGGGACGTCGAATCGTAGAACATAGGGACGGGGGTGCGGTGGCCGCGGCGGGCCGGAGGGTTGAATCAGCGCGGAGGTGTATGGGGGAATTAGTGGATGGTCGCGGACAATGTGGGGGATACTTTCTCATATCAAGTATGGCCGCCATCGTGGCACGATGGTCAAAACAATAGTAAGTAGCCGTGGCCGAGCGGGCGAGCCTTCTTCTTCTACCCTGCGTCGTCGCGCGCCGCCATGATATATCGTACTCTTCTTTTTCTCTTTTCCATTTTCTTTTTTCATCTTAATTATCGCCACCTCGACAGCGCGCGATCTGCCATTATTCCACCCTCCTCCTCTCGACTTTCCAGTGCGCAGTGAACAAAGTGGTGTTATCGTCGCGTTATCGCCGGTACGCAACGTCCAGGCATTCCTCAGCGGTATTTAACAAATGGATAATAACGAAGGATCATCGGCGAGCCGTCATTTTCCGGAGTGGTCTTACATCCACCCTGCGTCACGCTGCTGATCACGGTGAGTGTCAATCTTTCGTCCCGATGATCGAAATTATCTGATCCGATCAGTCACCTATCATCTACAATTGTTACAATCGAGGACAATTACAGGACAAACAAAAGTGACAGGATAAAACCTTTTCTTATGGCGAACTATTGAGCCTATTTTTACGTTCGATTTAATCCCAATGTTGCTTGTTACTGATAACAACCCAAAATCTACAAACCCCATAACTTCGCGTGTCCCAAACTTTTGGATTCTTTTTTACAATCGAAAACAATTACAGAGTAAATGACTAAAGTGACAGGATGAAACCTTGTCTTTATGCGAACTATTGAACCCATTTTTACGTTCGATTTAATCCTAATGTTGCCCGTTACTGATAACAATCCAAAATCTACAAACCCTATAACTTTGCGTGTCCCAAACTTTTGGATTCTTTTTTACAATCAAAAACAATTACTGGGTAAATGACTAAAGTGACAGGATGAAACCTTGTCTTTATGCGAACTATTGAACCTATTTTTACGTTCGATTTAATCCTAATGTTGCCCGTTACTGATAACAACTCAAAATCTACAAACCCAAAAACTTTGCGTGTCCCAAATCTTTTGGATCCTTTTTTACAATCGAGAACAATTACAGAATAAATGACCAAAGTGACAGGATAGTACTGTCTTTATGCAAACTATTGAACCCATTTCTACGTTCAATTTAATCCCAATGTCATTCATTATTGATAACAACCCAAAATCTACAAACCCATTTCTTGTGTCCCAAACTTTTGGATCCTTTTGCCGGAATTAACACGGCCTATCAAATGCGCGAAACAACACCGAACCGCTCCCTCTTTCAGGGTGGACTAAAAGTACCCTGGCCGACCGGTTACTCTCGCCGCGACGTCTTTTGCATGCGAATACTCCACGTGGTTCATCCGGCAACACGCATTGCGCAGATCCGACCTTTCGTGATCCCCACTTCTGTGCGAGAATCGCATATTTTACCATACCGTTACAGATTCAAGTATAAGCTGCCACACCGAGTGAATTGACTGTCAATTCATCCTTCAATACACACTTTATGATTCAAAACAATCTATTCTTATATATGATTATCTTACCTCACGCATACTACGTGCAGACATAGAAATATCGATTTATAGGAAATTTAGAAAACTACGAATTTAGAGTTTATTTTTCTCAAATGGCGTTTTAAATATTAAAGATTCAGATTTTATTATGTATTTTTAAAAGATTAAAGAGTGTAAAAATAATTGTAAAAAATAATAAAAAGAAACATCAAGTACGATGTAAGAAATTAAATTAAAGAAAGTTGGGAGAATATTTTTATAATATACCTTTTTTATTTTTCAATAATAGTATTCTGTATGTCAAATATATAAATTATATTTGTGCATATTTCTCACACAAATTAGAAATATTAATAAATTAAATTTTCTTATATCTATCTAATGATGAACAAAATATTCATTAAAAATAATATTATCACATTGTTAAATTAGATTATTTTTTTCTTAAATTAGTTATTTCTTTCTAGAAAAAATTTAATAGAAAAGATTTTGATAGATTTACAATTATATTCTAGAAAACAAATATTTAAGAAAAATTCAAAAACTTCTCGAGAACATATTCAATTTTCCAAAATATTCAAAAATGAGTAAAACAATGTTTTCGAAAAATATAATTTTCCGACTCGTGCGTTTTGTTGATTTCAGAGAGTATTATTAATTATTCAATTCTAAATATATCGTAAAAAATTAGAAAAGATTAATTTAATTTTATTAAATTCATATTATGCGACATGAAATTCTTTGTTTCATCGTAAATTCAACGACCCTTCAGCGAAAGCCGGGGCAAAGTCGACCCTGCGTCTCTGAAAAGCGAATCGCGTCGGATGGACATTTCAGGACGTTGAAGAGAGGGTGGATGGACGGGTGGATGGATTTTCAGAGGACTGGCGCGATGATATTTGTCTTGTTTACGGGAAGACTTATGCGCGTGTGCGAACCGCCGAAGTTCGCTGCTCGATCAATAGGCCTCTACTGGAGAATCACACGTAAACTCGGGACTCGTGTGTATCCGCACACGCCCACGCGTATATGCGTGTACGCATACGTAGATTTATACGCATGTGGTGTTCGATCCTTGTGTGCGTGCGCGCGCGCACCGAACCAATCCACGCGAAAAGTTCGCGGGAGCTCCTCGTTTAATTTTTTTTTTTTTTGCGAAAGAGAGTTGCAAAGCTTTCATAATTTACTCCATATCTGGTATCGATCTTCTTCCGATTCTTCCTCGCTCGCTCTCTCTTTAAACTTATATTGATGTTAGTATTTTTATTGCTTTACTTTACGTCCAATTGATTTCTCTTGCTTTTGTCGACCTCCTTTCATGTTTGCGGTTTAATTAGATTTTATAATATTATCAAATAACAGTTTGTTAGATGAACTGATGTTTTCTTCATAATAACGCAAACTGAAAATTTTTTAAAGAAAATTATATATATTTTTTAAATATACATATCTTATATTAAAATGAAAAATTGACTTCTAAAGTCAATGAGCTTAAACAGTACCTAGTTTACTTTTCAGTTTGCTCAATTTTATACACTTCTTATTAAAACGCACTAGATTAAAATAGTATGCATGAATTTTTTAGTGCTCATATGTATATAGTATGATTTAATTTCTCGTAAGCGCAATTACAAATTAATATTGCATGTTATTCTAAAACAACTATTATGTAACATATCGTTCAGCATTCAAACTCACATATCGAGTCTGGGATGGGATCCAGTTCAATATGTAGGTACTTAAAAATCTGAGTCGAATTTAATAATCAATTTCCATTTTTCAGAAAATTCTAGTAATATACTTATAAGAAATAATATTTCATATATTATACTTGCAAAATAATCGAACCTACAACAATTATATTTGAATCTTGAAAAAATAGTCTTTATGATACTTGCTACACATCTAGATTCCTTGGCTCACTTATATACTCATTTAGTTACCCCCATAATTTCTTATAAGTTCTCATCAAAGAGTCGAACATATTTGATCCAAGTTTGAATGTACTTGGAAATACTGTTTTTTATGGTACATTTAGAGTTTTCGAACATATCTTTCGAGTTCTATCTAAAAGTACTCTTTTTCTTCGAAATAATCATAAAGAGTTCAAAATTGTATAACACAAATTCGAGCATACTTGTAAGATACTTACAATAAGATACCCAATAAGATACTTAATCAAGAATTCACTCTAAATAAAATATTAAAATATTACATAAAATATTTAGTACTAGATAATAAAATATTACAATGCTCTAGACACGTTTCATGTTGTTGTTCTCACTGCATCTCTAACATAACGTGTTTTCCCAGTACCCTTTCACGAACGGTGAACCATTCCACCCCGCGAATCGGATCACCATCCCTCTCTGTCATTCATCCAATTTTAGCGGTGAATTTCCACAATGGTCTCGCGCGAACATACGGGCCTATTTACACGTATTTTTGGAAAATCTGTCAAACGTTGCGCTGTAGAAATATACGGGTGTCGCAGAAATCCCTCGTCCTCACCCGGTCTCCCATGAGATATATCTCTCTCAGTCTCTCTTGTGTGCGTCAACGATTGCTTTATAACCCTCGCGTAATCCATTTTCTATCCCGTTGACATACGTGTACGTACTAAAACTACGTTATGTATGTATATAATATAATAATTGTTGTTTTTTTTTAACAAACCAAAAATAAAAAACAAATTCGTGGAATAATTATTATGAAGATTTAATAACACGTATGTGTGTGTTGATTCAAATATTCGAGAACACATCATCTAAAATAACGCATTTTATTCAATTTTATAAAATTCAAAATTACCTATTTTAAGATGTCGATAATTGTGTGCATTTAAATCAATTATAAGAGTAAAAATATGAAATGCGTACATACAAATATATTATAGTTTTATATAGCTTTTTCTAGTAAAAAATATAAAAAACAGATTTTAACTATATATAAAAATTGAAGAATTAAGGTAAGAAATGATTTAATTATTAACTCTGGAGTTGAGAACTAAAATGTATAAAATTAAAAAATATATGTATGTTATTACAGTGTCCCAAAATCACTGTTCTTTTAAGAACAGATTTTCTAGTCAATTTCAAAACAATTTCTTAACAAAAATATCAAGAAAAGACATAACTTTTTTGCAAGTTTTTATTGTTTGCCATTATATATTTTTATAACTATAATAATAGCTTTAAATTAAAATTCTATTAAAGCAAAATTCTTCTTGAAGTTAATTAAAGAATGTAGTTTGGTTAATTTTTATTCTTATTTTATGGAACTTGAGTTAAATTTTTCGAAAATAAATTTTCTAATGAACTGCAAAGTGTCAAAAATATATAATTTTGAAGAACAAACAATGTATTTTGTAAAGCACAGAACAGGGGAAATAAAAAATTTTAAACCACTAATAGCACGTTTAAGTTGAAAATTTAAAATACTTTTTTAATATTTTATCTCCAATATGATTTTTCACCGAGTTTAAGTGGTTTAAATTTTTAGGGTATAAAAAGTATTCTTTATTTTTTAAGTATATAATATAGTCACGTGGTATATAATATATTTAATATTTCCCTTTTATTTTTAATGTTAACAAAATTTTAAAAAATTGTGGAGAAAAAATTGCATCTATATAATAGACACACATGCAAAAATGTGCGTACATACATAAATGCAATAAATATTATTCAATATTGCATTGCAGTACAATATTGCATTATATTTATTGAAAATGAATAAAGAGAGAAATAAAATGTTGAACAATATTTATTTATATCCAAAATATTATTTTATAATGCACACACGATTTTATCTTGTTAGCTCTCAGATAATTCCGGAAATCATCTACCATAGAAAGTACAGCAAAACGCATGATGATGGTGGGGTGGGGAGATTTGTATCGGTCTCCAAAGGTGGTAGGGAACGTAAAAACAGCATGACAGGCTTTTCATAGGGCATCGTGCCTATATTTGACAGTAACCTGGCAGAATCCGAAGGGGCGTAAACTGTTGAGGGTCGCGGATCAGGCACGCGAATACCTGATTTTTCGGTTAAATCATCGTTTTGTGCCATTATATTTCCATATTTCTCCGCTAATTTTCTCGCATTTTCGCGTCTTCATTCTATCTGACACATTTTGACGTATTTTGGATCTCGATTTTTGACACAGATCAATATCTGATATTAAAAAAATATTTTCAAGTGCCGCGATGACATTTCAATGATCTTGATGTCCTTGTCTTCGCACTTAACCAGGGCAACTCTTGAGCAAGAGACGTGACAATTATTTTGTTGCAAAATGTGTACTGTTCCGAGTTTGCAGTATAGGCGAAGTTTTTGTAATCGAGATACGTGACGAAGCTGTGCTCATCATTTACGAAGATGTACGATTTCCGAGGTATTTTGTTTCGGCACAGGAGCAATTTTCATAATTCATCATGAAACGGAAAACGATTTAAAACACAGGATTTTGAGGGTGAGAATTTAGGTATAAGTTGCAATTAAGTTGTTATAATTTTGAAATAATAAATGCGTGAATAATATGTCATGTCATCACCTACTTCAGATTTGTCAATGACATTTTTACTATCATTCCGAGAGATGCGGTTGATGTCACTCTAAATCACTTTAATAATTATCACCACCGTTTGAAATTTGCTTATGAAATTGAGACTAACAAATCCATTAGCTTTCTGGACACCACTGTCATTTGTCAAAACGGAATTTTGATTACTGACTGGTTTCTTAAACCAACTCTCTCCGGTTGATACATCAACTTTTATCCTAGCCATCCTTTACATTATAAAATTAATACAATCAGAAATCTTGTGGATTATTGGCTGATAAACAATTTTATTTGAAAAATATTAGAACAGTTAAAACATTTTATTGAACAATTGTTATCCATCTCATTTGATCAATTCAGTGTCACAAAAGGTTGAAACATCTTCACTCGAGGAGTGACAACACAGAGGTAATAGAACTAATGTCATTTACCGAATTGATTGTAATGATTGTAACGCATGTTATGTGGCCAAACCAAGAGGCATTTAACAACTCATGTAAACGAACCCTTTAAAGATATTAAGAAACATGAGAGCTGTCACTCAGTAGTTAGTAAACACAGGCTTACTTGCAATCACGATTCTAACTGGCAATCTCCCTCCATTCTACATATAGAGACTCAGTACAAGAAAAGAGAGATTAATTTACAAAAAGACACAGACAATTTGAATTCAATATACGACTCGCTTCTCAACATCATATAAGATTCTTCCGAAGCAGTATACCTTATTAGCTAGGCTACTGTTATTGTTTTGATACCAACACCGAGAATCCGTGGCTTACATTTAGTACTTATTGAATGTTCGATTTGCACACATCGTCGCTCAACGACTTATCACGAATTATTTTAAACATGCTTATGCCATAAAATAAAGTTGTGTGGTGTGTTGTAGTTATCTAATTTACCCTAGGTAACGTGACACATTTTTATTACTTCTCTTTTAAAATTATTACATTGTCTGCTCTTTATTTATCATACGAGCACGATCATTTTTGTCTCTCTTTTAATTTGTATCTTGTATTCCGTTATACAATTTTAATGTTCAATTCTATTATAATGTTACGGAAATTTATGTCATTTGAAATGAGATTGTTTGTATTGTTCGTATCAAACGCGCCTAAATTGAACGTGAAATAGGTATAATATTTAAGTCATGCATCGATACTTTATTTATCATTACCAATTTTTATCCTTTATTGTCATATCTTATAGTGCATTTAATTTATATGCATTAATCACAGACTTGATAAGGACCAAAATCGGTCGAAATGTGTCAACAACAATAAACATCTGATTCGTAGCCAGGCTGGTCGTCTACTTACACTTTCCTTGATTTTAAATTACTGACGAATTATATAATCTTTCATCCAAATATTTTATTATTGAACATTAATTTTATAACATAATAAAATTAAAATATTATATAAATGCAATGATTATTAAAATGATATATGTATAAAAGATAAATATATAAAAAATTATTAATTAATTAATTAAATTTTTCTTGTACTTAATAAAGATCACACACGAAATCGCAGAGAAAAATTAATAAAGTTCATTGACAATTATTTTTTCCCTTTGCTATATTGATGATAAAACAGGTAGTCTAAGAATCATTAAAATGTTTCCGTGTTTGTGCACACGCACGGCTCACGCGATCTTTTCTCACGCGTGTCTCGTGCACGACTGGACATAATGGCAGATATATCGTTGAGAGTTCACTAACCGCTATCGTCCACTTGCATTCGCGATACGAGGCTGTCATCCTGAATTAGTAATTATGTCGCGCTTCTGAAATGCATATTCGTATTATCCTCCGAATTCCCCGAATGCATGGGGTGGATGTATATGAGTCATGGGGGGGAATGCTTGCTCTCTCTCTCTCTCTCCCTCCTTCGCCCCTCTCTTTCTTCGAGACCGCATGTCTATCGAGCGAGTGAGGGTGTCCCATTCGTCGTATCTCGTTCGTCAAGTTTCGCATGTGTCTTTCAGCAGCACGAAATGCTCGTTAGCTGTCCCCAACCCTCGAGCTCCGTCAAGCGAAATTATTATCATCTTTCTGCCGAATTAATATCGCCTTCCAACGATCGCCATTCGCAATCTTCTGTATCAGTCAGACAACGAATTCGAATGTATATTAAAATGAGAATTCTATTTTTTGAGATTAAACATTGAAAAAGTATATGGTAATATAATATTTATATTATATAATATAATATTTTTTTTTATTATATTAATTCAGAATAAGACATATAAATAACTATATAAATTATGCCATTTTGAAACTATATTAAAAAAAGTGAAACAAAAACTGCTCGATGAATTTTCCCCTTTCGTGAAATGTTTATCAGATGCCAGATCGTTTTCCTCAACTTTTAAGAGAAAAAAATGTGTCTGTTCTTTGCTTTAGACGGGCAACATCGCAGGAAGAGCGGGTTGCGGGTCGCGTGATCCATCGAAATGTCATCGAGCATGACATCGTCACACGAGCCGACAACGACGATGGCAGAGACTGAACTGGACAGTGACGGTTCGAGTTGTGGCGAGCGCGACACTTGGAAGCGCGTCCGCGGCGATTCCATCGATCTCGGTGTCGGTACCAAAAAGCGTCGGAAGCAGTCCACACCGGTAAGATTCTCGTCCAGTGTAGCGACAGACACGCACGAGGACGCGTGCGAGAACGAGCGCGAGGACGAGGATAGCGAAGGTAAGCCGTCATCGCGATCGCCGTTGCCGAGCAACGAGCATCAACACCATCATCAACATCATCATCATCCTCAACCGTCGTTGAAAGACGAGAATCTCAACAACGAGTTCCGTTGCCAGCACTGCGGCCGGTTCTTTGATAGTGACGAGTCTCTCAATGTCCACATAGATGGCGAGCACGGTGGCGCGAGTCAGGCGACACCTAGCGTCACCATCAAGATTGAACCGGCACAGCAGCTGGATCGGAATAATGATGATCCGGTTAGTCTCCTAAGCGTCAAGAACTTCGCGACTACGTGGCTGACCGCGCCCGGCTCCGGTCAGCAACACGTGCAATCGCAGACGCAGATGCAATCGCAAAGCGAGGAATCGTGGTCGGGCAGTCCAGTCAATCAGATTGTCACGATGACTAATCATTTGCAGGCGCTCTCAGGTTTCCCCGGTACTCTCGCGCAATACCTACCCCTACCGGGTTTTCCCATACCCGATCCCCAGCAAGTCCCAAGATCCTCTCTCGGTCCGGTGCCGGTGAAGATTTTCAATCCGGACGCGTACTGCGACATGTGCAACAAGGAGTTCTGCAACAAGTACTTTCTAAAAACGCACAAAGCCAACAAGCACGGGATTTATGTGGACTTGCCAGCAGCGAACACGACTATAGATGCCGCTAATGTGTTCGCTACGAATTTCCATGTAGGTAATACGAGCGTCAAGTTGGAACCATCGACAACGCCGCCGCAGAAACGTTTTCGCATCGAAGAATCTGCAATAAAAAAGCACAAATCGAAAAACGAGTCTTCGATAGATCAGCAGTCAGAGAGTCAGCCGATCTCTTTGCCGCAGAACGAGGAGGATTGTCGAGAAACGTTACGCGACAGTCCCAGTGGTATGGAAGCGCTTCTTAAGCAGGAATATGGCATCGAACAGGAAGATGCCACCTTCATGCCTGCTCCTAGACACCTGTCGCCCCAATCCATTCAGCAGGTGCGCGATTCTGGCTTCAGCGTCGATCTCCTACGTCGTTTGGGTGTCATAAATCCCGAGGCGTTCTGTGAAATCTGTTGCAAGGAATATTGTAACAAGTATTTCCTACGCACACATAAAATGAAACGTCATGGTATCGTTATACAAGATAATGAGAGATCGCCTAGCAATTCTGGCACAACCGTTACCACATGGCATCAAGTGCAAACCAGTCCGCTAAACCTGATTGTGACGGACACTACCACAGGTTCGGAGTCCAACGATCGCATTAGTGAAGAATACGAGTGCAAACCTTGTGGTATACGCTTCCAAACGATCGATCTATATCAAACACACTGCAGGAAAATACACGAGGTCGAAGAACGTGCTACACCGAAACAAGAATACGATTTAGAAAGTTCCGATCAGCGCACTGACTCAATCTCGGAGGATCTCCAAAAGCTGCAGACGATGATCATGCAACTGAACGGTTTGGATTCTGGCAAAGGATTGTCCTGCGCCATTTGCAGTAAAGAGTGCGACTCAAGGTCGGCCCTGCGCGTTCATATGGCGACCGAACATGGTGTCACCAATGATGAAATTTCGTCGCCGCAGGAGACATCACCTGCCCAGATCATTTCGACTATTTTCTGCACTCTATGCGAAAAAGATTATCCCAGCCAGGAAGCTCTGAAGAGACACATCAGCGAAGAGCATCAACCTGTCATATCTAACGTCATTACGCTACCGACTCTTCCATCGACGGTGATTGCCTCTTCCGCCAGTTCGACACCAATTAATCAAGCTCTAAATAGTCAAACAACAACAATGACAACGACAACAATGACGACGGAGAAGAAGATGTCACTGACGCCTACATCCAGCTATTGCGAAATATGCAACAAGGAGCTGTGTAACAAGTACTTTATGAAGACACACATGCAACGAATGCACGGCATTGAAATCGAGAACGGTGCACAGATCGGCGGTGTTATTTGCAATATTTGCAACAAAGAGTTATGCAGCAAATACTTCCTACGCGTACACAAGCATAACACCCATGGGATTGTCGACGAGAACACATCGTCCGCATCAACGTCGAATAAACAAGAACCTTACGACACTTCAAACGCAGAAGATTCGGCGTTGAAGCAGGAACCGGGCGATCTTAATCACAGCTATTTTAATCACTTCACCGAGGTGTGTCCAATCTGTAGCCGAAGGTTTCGTAGTATCAAGTGGCTAAAAGGACATCTGATGAGCGATCATGGCAAAGTTGGAATTGATAAATGGCGCGAGTTGGAGCAGCAGTATCAAGAAACAGCCAGGACCAGTGGCAAAAGTGTAGCTTCAGGAAAAAGCATTCAGCAAGCATCGAACCTAAAGATTCCCAATGGCCTCGAGATTAGTCAACAAGTCAAGTCGACCGACTGCAGCAATCTGGGAAATCAGGTGCTGTCGAATCTTTTTGGTTCTTTATCCGAGGAACATCAAATGAAAAATTATCATTGCGCCTACTGTAACTTTGCAACGTCGGTGCTGCCCTTGCTCTTCCTTCACGAGCGATCGCACGTAAGTTTTCCAGAAAACGTCGAGGGTGACCGGTTACTGCAATGCCCGATCTGCTCGCAGGATTTCCAACAATCGGAGCAACTCCACCAGCACCTACTCGCTAAGCATCAAATGCCTACTTTGCTATCGCAATTTCAGCATCCACTTCTAAACAACTTGAGACTGGATGCTAATGTCAAGACAAATGACGTTAAAGGCAAAACCGATCAAGATACAAAGGACAACAGGGCAGGCTGCAGTCCGCAGATCGATCGAAGTATTTCCGAGCCCGCAAAGAACCAACGGCAGAATGAACAGGTACAGGTTACTGCTCATGGCGCGTATAAGTGCGCCCAGTGCGGCTACGCGACGACGAATCTAAATCGGATCAAAAAACATGTGCGGAAAGATCACAAAATGCTCGGTGATCCGACGGAGAGCGTAATCACCGAACTTAGTAAGACCCTAAAAGACGTGGCCAATAAGCAAAAAGTACCGGCTTGTTATGCGATGCCGCAGGACATGAACTCGAACCCCGACAAAACCATCATGCAACCGTTTCTGATCGAGGAGCAGGATCTGATGCAAACCGAGTCTAGCTCGGTAAAGAGATTCGCGCCAGCACTCGTATATCTACCGGTCAAGTCCAGAATCAACAACGCCTTGACAGCTTCCTTCACTCTAACTCCCGCCTGAGTTTAGATTTTTCTTTATTCGTATTCGCATCGTATTTTCGCGGCTTGAAAGAGCATGAGCGACAGCATCTACATCTGCGATCTGAGCACATGGTATGGATTCCTATTTGTTGTTCAAAACGAGCGGCAAGTGTTATTTGCACCGTAATATTCTGACGTTTCACTCATTTTTACGTCTCTTTGACAGTTTCTGCATCTTCTACTACTCTATAGATTAAGCAAGCTCTCTGATTTTATATTGCGAATTGGTAAAATGAAGAAGATAGTCGAATTAATATGATATATCAATTAAATAAGCTTACTCTTTACGTTTTTAAAGCAAATTCTGTTGCGCTAAAAATTATTTTCATATAGTTTAATGTTTGAGAAAATTCATGTCATTGAAAAGAATAATTTTTCGTAAACATTCTGAAAATTTTCGAATTATCTTCTTAAGAGTTAAACAATGAAATTTTTTTATTGCGTACATAAGAAGATAATTCTATTTACGGTATTTTATTTTAAAAAATCATAACGTAAAATTGCGTTTAGTGATACATCATTAATTCGTACACATAAAATACGCGGAAATCATCCTGAAAGCATTAAAGAGTAGGATCGCGCAATTTGATTTCAGAGTAGTTTGAAGAGCGTTTATATATCAGACGAGATTTTATACTAGACCGACCAAACGGTTTTTCTTCGAAAGGGAAGTTCTTCCCCGCCATAAAAAATTATGAGACGAGATTGTTATTATTGTTCTAAGTAAAAGAACATACTCGTTATATATTCTTGTAAATATTTAATCATAAACTAATTGAAAACACGAACGGGTGATCGACAAAGTTCCTATTTTAAACGCGATAAACTCTCTTATATCGTGAGCCTTGCATTTTCTTTCTTTCTTCTCTTGCATTTCATTTTTATTTCTTTCTCCTTTTCTATTTCGGTTTTTTCTCAAGTGAACGAAAAAATCAATAATAATCGTTTAATGACATTAGTTTATATATCATTTCTTCACATTTCTTCTTCTTTTTTCACGCGATTGTTTTATAAATAATCAATATTATATATACATTTATATATTTATTTACACGTAAAAAAATAAGCAGAGAGTTTTCAGGGATAAGATTTAAAGAGGTATTTATTATATATATATATATATATATATATATATATATATATATATAATAAATATAATAAATATACGCTAAACTTTGAAAAATCGGCGAAAGGCGCTAATTAAGCGCGATTGCTAATTATGGTCGCGACGGCCAAGAAAGCGACAGTACGATCTGATATAATGATTAACACAGCATTGAATATATCAATGTGCAGAGAGAATCGCCAACCAACTCAGGGGTGGACACAGTATAACCCGCAACAAAAAGTACAATCGTATACACAGCCAACACATTACATAGACTTTAAATAACTTTTACATATAATATGATGATATAGCGTGTGTCTCGTATAAATGTTCTGCGGATATCAATATAATACGATTGACCACCTCTATCTTATTAGGGGTGTCGCGAAACGACCAAGCTCGATCCACACGAATATTTGACGAACAGCCTCCAATTTATGTAATATATACATATATACGATCTACATATTAAAGTTATATAGAGAGCACACTCGGATTTTTAACTAAGAGTTATCTAGTCTAGTTGGTAAAAAAAAAAAAAAAGAAAGAATCGCGAAAAGACGTCGAGTTCGAGATAAAAAGTTCCTGCCAAAAAACTTCGAACCTCGTGCCTTTGCAGTTTATGAAAAATTGCGAATTATCTCGCACAAATTATCACGCAGGTCTCGATAAAAAGAAATATCCGATGTAACAGTCTGATCTGTGTTACGATTATAATAAATAAATTTTCTATTGGGTATATACTTTCTCGATTGTGTATTGTGTAATAGTCGATCAATAGATCTCTTCTACTCGTTACGAGAATAGAATTACAAAATTATAAAATTTTTCTCACTTTGACGATAATTAATAATAATAATATTTATCTCAGATTAATCAATTAGAGATATGATAATTTCGCACACAATCAATATCTATTTGAGATTTTTTCACGATTTTAGATTAATTTTATAAATTATTGCAATGTCTAAGGAATTTTTTCTAAGAAAAAAAACGAGATAAAAAATATTCCATATTATTGTTTTTTTGAATGTTAAAAATTGAAATGTGAATTATTTGACAATCAGAGTTACAAGAATTTTATTTAGACTGTTTCTCGATGCAAAAACATCGATTATTTCTTCGGCAACGGTCAAGGTCCGGATTCGATCGAAATGCTCGAAAAGACAGCTGCACTCGACTGCACATACTCTCGATAGAGTACAACGCAGCCGTATCGAACTTATAGCTTCCCTAAATACGTTCCTGGCAGTGCATCGATGCATCTATCCCTCGACGATGAACAAACACGCATTTCCGCCCTCGCTGTATCGTGAAATAATAATGCTGTTTAGTCAGTGCAATTATTGTTCAGCGACATTTCTTACAATTTTTTTTTACATTTTTAAAATATTATTAAAATATTATTGAAAAAAAATGTTACAGATTTTATATTCACTCTATTTATTATATTTTTCTAATCTTTTTAAAGTAAAAGAGGAAAATAATAAGCTATAAGAGATTAAATAAATATATATATTTATATGTATAATGGAAAAAAATATCTTAAAAATTAACTACAGATATAGATTATATTTTCGAAAATAAAATATATGCATAATATAAATTTTAAAATAAATCGTAATAGTTGACTATATATATCGTGCAATTTGTGCACTGAAAAAATAAATAAATACTAATATATGTTAATTAACAAAATAGTAATTTAGTTGAAAGGTTTAATCAAGTTAACAAATTTTTTTCAGCGTAATAAAAATTAATTTTTCGTAAACTGAATCGGACAATAAGTAAAACGATCGAGTAGACGCATCGATTTAGCCGATGAAACATTCACTGTAAAAAAATATGTAATATATTACACAAAAATATGTAAAATTACATAAATAATAAGTGTAAAATTACACGATAAATAATAGAAATGTTTACCTTTTCATTATTTATCATGTAATTTTACATTTATTATTTATGTAATTTTACATATTTTTAATGTAATTTTACATATCCTTTTTACAGTGTTCGTAATGCGAATTCGGGCACTGTCAAGAACGGCGAATGATTTATTCCGGGCGATTTCCATGTGACGCCCGAACTGGTTTTTCTCTCAAAGGCCATAAAAGTTTTCCCCGCTGCAGCTGAAATTCGAGAACCGCGTCATTTAATGGCACCCCGGGCCGTTGCCGAAAATTCGTCTGAATTAGTATGCGCGCACGCGTGCATTAACATACCTTAGGGGTGCAGAGAGAGAGAGAGAGCGGCGATCGACCATTACACAAATTCATCGAGCGAGTGGGGGATGAAACGGAAACGAGCGCGTTGCCGAAGAGCGATTTTCATTGGGGATGAAACGAATTTTTAGACGGCATTGTCGGTTCGGACAGAGATAGGTCCCCCACATCTGGTTAGGTCCCTCTAGCGAGAAGGTCAGGGAGGAGAAAGGAGGTCGCGACCTTGACGAGGATTTTTCCGAAAAAGTCCGAGAATGAAACTCGGCAGGGAAAGAGAAGGAAGGCGAAGCCCCTGGTCCCCCAGATTTACCCGGCTCGCGGCTATTTTTCTTGTCCCACGTGACACATGCAAAACGGGGCTACCTTCACCCCGATTCTTAATTGCGTCCCATGCAGATACGCGTATTGTGCACTTAATGGCCCGTGCGCTACGCGTTACGCACGGAGGGTTGCAGATTTTAATTGTTATCGGGAAAAAGAGAGATGTGAGACGGATAATACAGGGTGTATACTTCCCCTGGAAAAACCTGGAATTCTCAGGGAATTTTGTTCCGTGTACCTTGAAAAATTCTAGAATCATTACGGAATTTTTGATTTGAACTCAGGGATTTTTTTAAAAATTGGGCCCCTTTGATTTTAAAATATAACATTTATTAATTTTATATAAAGTATATATTAAAATATATTTTATTATAATATATTACTTTATTATATTTAAAAAATACTTCATTTATGTTGAAAAATTATGTATAACAAATAATTATTTCAAAATTGTATTCTGAATATTATTTAACATACTTTAATTTTACCTGGAATTTTGAACAAAAATACCTGGAAAATCATGGAATCCCAGAGGATTTATTTCTAAGATTTGAGTATATACCCTGTAATAATAAATCTGGGCGTCGCCGGGTAAATCATGGTTTTTCGTCCGCGTGAAATTTACAATTTATTATTTATTTTCCGAATTATAACGAGCATCCATTTTTGCGAGCAAAATTATTTTTCATGATTATTACAGAAAAGTAAAAGCCAGTTTTAATTTCATCAATATATATATATATATATTGGTGATTCAAAATTACAATTTTTTTACTATTTATATTTGCACACATCTAGATTGATAATTTGACGAGAATTATATTGGACGGGCGCTGATTATATTATTAATCAGATTAATTACGAATGTGTCGACGGACCCGATTGAGAGTAAGAGCATAATAAAGTTCTGAGAGAAGTCCTATAGCGACTTGCATGCCCGAAATCAGCATTGCCTTTGTAACATAATTGAGCACAAAATCAAAATTTTACCCGTATAAACCAAACGAGAAAACACAAAGTATATATATATTATATATATATATTGTTCATTGATATATATTACTAATTATATATTAAGAGCGTCGTAGGCTAAGTACATATTTCAATATGTGAATAATACAAACGAAAATTACGTACGGTAGAATCTCGTTAATTTTGACCCTCCGAAGAGAGATAAGAGAGCGAAAAGTTCTTAAAGGAATGCTGCCGTAGTTCTGTTTTACCGACTTTAAGTTAGGTTAGGTTTACTTTTTATTTAATATACAGATTGGAAAATCCTCCACAATGAAAGTATTGATAATAACAAATGGGGAGTCATGTCTGGCAACTATTTCTTGCTGTTTTATGCCTCGACATCGATTCCGCACACAAATATATATATACAAAATTAATTCAAGTACGAATTTTTTAATATAGGCTTTTAATTTCATCTTTATTACAATATTTTGGTATTATTCTTTCATATCATCTCTATTGGGAGCGCCATATTTTGTGCACAAATAAACTGCAGAACTTTTGTATTAAATAACTATTGTTATAAGCTGACGCAAGAGGCCGATAAAAAAAAACTGTAATTTTTTAACTTTTATTGTTTTTTATATGAAATTACAGCGTTCC